GGTATTAGTATTATACTAATAGCGAACAAATACCAAATATCTTTGGCATGTAACTTTATAGAATAGGGCACGATTTTAATCAAAATTATCAAAATTGAGATTCAAAAAATAAAAATGTATTTAACATTCAGTTACGGTTTTGTATGTGTGTTGTGTCATCTCGATGGGAAAAAGTGATATTAAATTATTTTACACAACTAATCATTTCATTAAATCTCTGATTTTTATTATTATTATAATTTATTGTTACTATTTAAGCCAATCATAAAATATCCTCAAAAAATAAAACTTTAAATTTTTGTTTATTAATTAATAATGTTGCAATAGTTCTGATTTTTCCACATCAATTAGCCTAGAATTTAAAGAATCGATTCTCAAATCAATTTTATTAAGTTGTTCAAATTTTTCGGATGGTTAAATTTAAATAGTCATATCTGCAAAAATAAATTATTTTTTGATATTTTTAACACTTTCGTTATTTCTCCGCAGTTACTGCGTCATTCGTGAATGCCGATTTTTATAACAGCGGTAATTGAGAAAATTTATGTAAATAAAAATAAAATTTTTTTAGATAGGGTTGTTTCATAAGCACCTTAACATTTCTCTTGTTTATACATTTAAATAAAGAAGATAGATCGATGACCACTTTCAACCATATTTAAAATTTCCCTTATGTAAATCTTCGTTGTCTTTTCATTTAATGTAACCTAACTTCATTATTTATATCTTAATTCTGCACGTATTTATGTCTTTACATACATATATGTTATAATTTATACATAAATGATGTTTTATTTAATATTTTATTATTTATATAATACAATTCGAAAATTTCATGATATTTAAGTATACTTGTGATAATAAACAAAATAATACATGGATGAAATGTTGAATAATTTTTACAAGAAATGATTTACATGGTGTACTTTCATAACTTTCTCATTTCCACCCTTTGATTCCGGTATCTATAGGGATGAGATAAGAGAGAGCAATTTGCGTGGTCACATTTGTAATGGACACCTTATTCTCGGTAATATTTAATGCTGTGAACATAGGATACAAGAATGAGGTCACGACGGTTAACAATTTCCAATAAATGAGAATGGTAAACATACACTACCCTCGGAAAAGTATCCGCTTAAGCTCTTCTTAAATTACTCGAGATCAGACATATTAACTAGCTATTTTTTTTTTTTTAAATAAATCTCCTGGTTCTGACGATTAAGTACATATGTTTATATTCGTGTAACATGCGTAGATCAGTTTTAATAAACAAAAACGTAAACATTTCTCTTTTTAAAACTGCGCCGTTCGATATGGGAAAAAGTCGCGAATTAAATGAGTTTGAACGCGGAAAAATAATCGGTTTACGGATAGCTGGAAGAACCCATGAAGCTATTACAGATATAATCACTCGACATGCTAATTCTAGTAATGGATCAAATGCTAAAAGAACTGGAAGACCACCTTCCATGAATAATGACGATCATCAAACACTAAAAAAAATTTTAAAGAATCATCGATCTTCTCTTAGTGAAATTCATCATAATTTCCAGAATTTAAAAAATAAAAAAGTTTCACAAGATACTATTCGTAAAACGCTTCATCAAATGGGAATTCATTCACGAATTTCTGCGCCAAATCCATTTCTTACAGAATCTCAACGTGAAAATCGATTAAAATGGTGTATGGAGCGACAAAGTTGGTCAATTCAAAAATGGAAACAGTAATTGGAGTGATGAATCACGATTTACTCTTTTTGAAAATGACGGACCTGGTCGTGTTTGGCGAGAAAATGGTACCTGATATGATATTGAAAATTTGACTCCTACAGTCAAACATGGTGGCGGTGGCATCATGGTATGGTGATGCTTTTCAGGGAAAGGATTAGGTCCACTAGTAAAAGTTGAAGGGAAAATGAAACGGCTAGATTATATCGTTATTTTAGAAAAAAATTTATTGCCATTTATTCAATTTAAACATTACAGACAGCCTTATGCATTCCAAGATGATAATGCTCCAGTTCATACAACGAAGTATGTCAAAAACTTTATTGTTCAGAAAAAGGTTAAGGTACTTCCCGACTGGCCCTCTCAATCACCAGACCTTAATCTGATTGAATATTTATAAAGTGAACTCAAACGAAAGCGCAGAAAATGTACTGTGCATCCAAAAATCTTCGTGAACTTGAGGAAATATTGCAAGAAGTATGGAAAAAAATTCCATCTGAACCCTATATTAAGCTTATAGAAAGCATGTCACATAGAATCAAAGCATGCATTAGAAGCCAAGGATGGCCTACTGAATATTAAATATATTAAATGTTTTATTTATATTAAAAATCTCAAATAAATAAAATATTATTTTGGTTGACCAGATACTTTTCCGAGGGTAGTGTATCTTTTGGTTAAGAATATTCAATTTTCAGTTATTTATTAAAATCTGCATCAATCGATACATAACGTAACCATCTATAATAATATCAACCAAGGTCAAATTACTGAAATAAAAACCATTTTCACTTTTCATTCCACCATAAAAAGAAGTGGAATTTTCAGAAAGATCGTGTGGAAGATTCATCAGAAAAGTATATATAATCTAGTTTCAAAACGAAAAGAAAGAAAAATTAAAATTTATTGCAACATTTTGATGAATACATCATTTAATATCATAAGCAATCCAATGCTCATCTACATATCAGAATTGCTTTTCTCGTATTGTCTAATAAGTGTCAACATGAAAGCAGCCAAGGATTGTATGATGAAAATCTTAAAATGGTCTGATAGCTAGACCATATAAATTCTTCTAAAGAGTTGTTTAACAATAAATCAATTACGGAGCACGCCAAGCAGCTAAGATTAAAAATAATTAGGTAAATAGAAAACCAGTACAGTACAATTCACCAGACCAGTACGATACGATTATGCAAATCAGTAATTTTTGTGAAATACCGTACCGTACTGGTCTTATAATAATTATATAACCAATCCAATACGATGATATAGACTGATTTTATAAAATTTGTACCATACCGTACTGGTGCTATAATAACTAAGCCCTATTATAGGAACAGTACGGTATGATACGATGTTAAATTCGTACCAGTTTTCCTTATACTCTTTTGATCTTGTTTGAAAAGATATTCACGTTCAAAGTTTGTCACAACTTCGCATTTTTGTATTTTTCTTTTTTTTATTTCCCCAGGATTTGTTTATTTTTTTTTTATATATTTTTTATATTTTTTTGATTTTTTTTTAAATTCCTTTCCAGTGTATATTATATATTTTTTTTTTATTTGATTTTTTTCTTTTTTATTTTAATTTTATTTTTTATTTACTTTTTTTTTCCTTTCATTTCATTGTTTTTTTATGTAATTTTTTCTTTTACTTTTTTCGTTCATTTATTTTTTTCTTATTAATTTTTTTTTTTTATTTCATTTCTATACTTTCGTTTTCATTTTATTTATTTGATTTTTTCATTTTTTGCAATTCGTTTCTTTTTTTACTTTATTTTTATTTCTTTCTTCTTTTTCGTTTTTTCAAAAAGATAAATTTTTTTTTAATATAGTAAAATCTGTTCGTTATATCAAAATTCGTAAACTATCACGTGATAAATACAAAATACTGGTCCTATAATAGGGCTGAAGTGACATAATTACATATCTGCGCAAATAAAATTAAATTTATTATATTACCTGACCCTTGTCAAAGGTAGAAAATTGGAATCTAAAGAGAAATTATTAAAATGAACATCATATTCCATATTATTTAATAAGATCAATGAACTGAAATTGCGAAAGTTTTTAAAGCGACAAGCAGCAAAAAAAAGTTAATCTTATTTTCTAAAAGGTTATCAAACATCTCAAAATCACGTGAACGGACGAGCCCCAACTTTTGCTAGCTGCGTCCCCATTATATGGGTACCGTATCTAATATTGATTTTGGAATTGATTTTATGTCATAAAACTCTTGTCAGAAGGGCGTATACAATGTTAATTTTCTTCGCATAATTAAAATCACGCCAATCTCATATCTTGTTAGTTTTAAACAAAGGAATTTGCTTTGCAAAATGACAAAATGAAAAATGATTGACATGGGCTAAATTTGCTAAATCAGGAAACAAAAGCTTGTTTTTTGATATATATAGTCTCCGTCTTTGCTTATTGAACGCTAGTAACTAAAAAGTTGTCAAAAAAAACAAAAAAAAAAACCTACTCAAAATATATTAAAAACATAAAAAAAGAACCTACATATTTATTAAAAGTAAAAAAGATAATGGGTCTTGCATCCTATCTTATCGTCACAACTGTTGGAGGCGTTGCCGTAGTTTTGGGAGCTCCTGTGATTCTTAAAGCTTTGGGCTTTAGTGCGACTGGAATTGTCGCGGGTTCTCTCGCAGCGGCTGCTCATAGCTATATCGGTGTCGTGAGTGCTGGAAGTGTTTTCGCCTGTCTTACTTCAAAAGCTATGTCTTAATAAAGGTATTTTGGATTCTACATCCTTGTTTTCTGCGATTATGTTCCAACATTAAATCGAATTTTCTAGCCAAATTTAACTTTTTGCTTATTGAAAATAGACCACCGAAGTTTTCCCAGCAATTTTTTTTATTTTATTTTTAAACTTTTGTATTTTTTTTTTTTTTTTTTTTTTTGGTAACAAAATGTAACTTTTGTAATAGAGTATTAACTAATAATATGTATCAATGACGCTTAGCCCATCATTAAAATTATAATATAAAAACCTTGAATTTTTTTGTTTTTGTTGAATGATTTATTTTTTAAGCAGTGAAAACCATTTACTAGCCTGAGTTACAAACGATTTTTAATCAATTTTTAAAAATCATACCGGAACCGACTCCGGATCGGCTCAATAATAACCATACCGACACAATCTAAATTTACTTAAGAGAACCGTCCATCTCTAGATACTGATTTTACTATTGGAGTTGAATTTCCAGGAAAAATATCAATATTTAATAAATAACTTGTACCGGAATTATTTATCAATAACATTGCATAATTTAAACACATTAAATGGATTTATCTTATTTTATTGATATTTTTAGGTTATAATTTACTAATAACGTTAACTATTAATGTAATTAATGGTGGTTTTCTCTATTCATGGCATGGCTACAGTAAATGAGATCTATTTAAACTTCCTTTTTTTATTTATCGCATGCATTAATCATGAAAATATACCGATTAATCGCCATAACACAAGGGTCACCGCAGAGCTGTGATATTCACTGATTTTGCAGTAAATAACTATTCGATCCTTAAATACTTTTTTAGTCCAAATTTTTGTTTGGAATTGCATTCTTACATCAAAATTCTTTTTTTTTAAAGTCTATTCAATTTGTTAAAACATAAATTTCTCAAATAATTATAAAAAAAATTCAAGAAAAATCCTCTTAATAATAATAAATCTATTTTAAGTTACGAACAAAAAATACTATTTATGCGTTATCAACTGATCAATTATACATGCTTCGCTTTACAGGTTATCGGAAATACAAAACAAAAAAAGTTCATCTTTACGAAATTAAATTTAAAAATTACTGACTTTCTGAAAAAAAATTTAGTTCGTTGTAAAGCCAATTATTCTCCAGAAAATAATTGTCTACTAGGTTGCCGGGAAAAACCCGGAGGTTTCGACAGGTATCGAAATCGAAACCCATCGAAACGTTTTGCCAAATTTTTTTATTAAAGGCAAAATTGCGAAAGTTTCGACGGGTGG